AGACATTTTTAGGGGGTCAAATAAAAATTACAGTTGACCCTTGAGCCACGCAGTTCCACTTATGTGTGGATTTTCTTTGAGAAATACAGTATACTACTGTATATGCATTTTTTTTCTTCCTTACAATTGTCTTGGCATTTTCTTTTCCTTAGTTTACTTTATTAGGATGCAGTATAGAGTTCATGTAATCAATAAGATTTCCAGTCAACAGGAGGCTATTAAGTGGTTAAATTCTGGGAGAGTCAAAGGTTGCATGTGGATTTTGGACTATGTGCAGGGGTGGGGAAGGGCAGCACCCTTAATGCCTGCATTGTTCAAGGGGCAACTGTATTTGGTGACTGGTGAGATGTAGGAGGTAAAGAAGAGAAAGCCAAATACAACTTTGTCATATTTGCAGCCCCACTGTCCTCGTTTCTGCTCCTGGAACATACCCCGGCAATTTTTTTGCCATAGTGCTGTGTACTTGGTTTCCCCTGCTAACCCCAGATTGTTACATGGCTGTCTCCTTTTCTGCATTCAGATGCCAGCACGAAGTCAACTCCTTAACTTGCCTTCCATTCCTATCCTTCACAAAGCCAGTGGCAGCCAGCCTTCTCTAATATGTTTCCATGTTTTATTTTTTCATCATTTATCATTATTATCTTATTCTATTTTATGCCATCCTGTCTATTTACTCAACCCCATTAATGCAGACATCTTGTCTGTCTTGCTTATCACTAAATCCTATTATTTGAAAAGAGTCTGGCAAACAGAAACCACTTGATTAATAGAGAGTTTATATCTTGCCATTTCTAAATTCCAGACTTAATGAGCAAATTATACTGCTCTAAATATGCTTCTTCCTCCATGTAGAATTCCCTCCTCATCTTTTCTTCTTTTTGCTAACTCCTCATTGCCCCTCAAGACTTTATTTTTATCATATTGCATTACATTGTTTTCCAGGTGGAGAGAAGAATGTGGAGAACATGATGTTTTCCAAACATCTAGCCAAGATAGGTAGGTAGATAACAGGCAGTTGATAAACATTTATAATGATCATCTGGAAACTTCTTAGAAATGCAGACTCCTGGGGTACTGGGAGGTTAAGTCAGTTAAGTGTCTGCCTTTAACTGGATAGTGATCCTGGGTGGCTTGGTGGTTGAGTGTGTCTGCCTTTGGCTCAGGTCCTGATCCCAGGGTCCTAGGATCAAGTCTTGCATCAGGCTCCCCTAAGGGAGCCTGCTTCTCTCTCTGTGTATGTCTCTGCCTCTCTTTCTGTGTTTCTCTTGAATAAATAAGTAAAATCTTAAAAACGAAAAGAGAAAAAGAAAGAAAGAAGGAAAGGCAGACTCCTGGGGTACAGAGAGGTTAAGTCAGTTAAGTGTCTGCCTTCAACTGGGGTAGTGATCCTAGGGTCCAGGGATGGAACTCCACATCAAATTCCCTGCTCAGTAGAGGAGTCTGCTTCTCCTCTCCCTCTGTCCCTCTCCTGTTGGTGCTCTTTCTCTCTCTCTCAAATAAATAAATAAAATCTTAAAAAAAAAAAAAACAGAAAAAGAAAAGAAAAAAAAATGCAGACTCCTAGCCTGCACCTCAGATGGACTGAATGAAAATCTGTACTTAGCAAGGTCCCTAGGTGATTCATTTTCACATTAAAATTTGAGGAGCGGGATCCCTGGGTGGCGCAGCGGTTTGGCGCCTGCCTTTGGCCCAGGGCGCGATCCTGGAGACCCGGGATCGAATCCCACGTCAGGCTCCTGGTGCATGGAGCCTGCTTCTCCCTCTGCCTATGTCTCTGCCTCTCTCTCTCTCTCTCTCTCTGTAGCTATCATAAATAAATAAAAATTAAAAAAAAATAAAATAAAATTTGAGGAGCACTATTTTATTGATAATAATACACAGCCTAAATTTAACTGGGAAGCCTTATAGTGATCCACAAAGGAAGGCCAGTATTATGAAGAAAAGGCATTAAGAATCCCACAAACCTGGCTGGGTTGTTTTTGATTATTAGTTACATCCCATAAGTGGTTGTTGTGAAATAGTAAGTTTGAAAGGCTTGCTACATGTTAGATGCTTAATAAATCATAGTATCTCTCTCCCCTGGAAGATTCCAAGGCTGATCACTGGGAGATCTAGCCTCTAAATCTGATATTGTCACCAATTCACTAAATCATGGTATATAGAGTTAGAAGGAACCTTTACACAGATACCATTTAGTTTAGCAACATTGTGTTACAGATATGGTAAGGCTCTAAGGCTGGAGGTTAAGTCTTCTGAGTTCGGTGCTCAGCCATACAGCTTCCTCAATTGTAAAATTGGGACAGTAATACCTTCTTTATTTGTCCAATAGGTTGCCTCTAATCTTTCAGGACTTTGTGAGAGCTCTTTAAAAATGCAAAGTATAATAATTATTTTTTATCATTGTTTTAAAATTCTAGATTGTATTATACTTGTCAGATTTGTAAGATTTCCTATCATCAAGCAAGTTAGAGATTAATACGTATTAAATTCTAAGTTCACACTCTCGAGAAAGGATAGAGTTTGGAGGAAAAGCTACTATTGTAACTGATGGTTACTATACTGAGTTTATCATTAAACCTCTTTATAATACGGTATGTAAGACTCAGAGGATGGAGTTTACATTATTTTATTTTATTTTTTTTACAGATTTTACTTATTTGAGAGAGTATACATGCACAGGAGCAGTGGGAAGGAACATAGAGGGAGAAGCAGGCTCTCCACAGAGCAGGGAGTGCCACGTGGGCTCAATCCCTGGACTCTAAGATCATGAGCTGAGCCAAAGGCAGATGCTTAACCAACTGAGCCCACCCAGGAGCCTTTGGATTGCTTATTTTAATCAAAATAAAATTCCAGGGAAGCCTGGGTTGGCTCAGCAGTTGAGTGGCTGCCTTTGGCTCAGGCCGTGATCCCAGAGTCCCTGGATCAAGTCCCACATCGGGCTCCCTGCATGGAGCCTGCGTCTCTCTCTCTGTCTCTCATGAATAAATAAAATCTTTAAAATAAAATAAAATTCCAAAAGAAAGTCATTTTATGTAATAAGCAATTTAAGATTTTTACTTATAGTGGAGGCAAAAGGAATGCTTAGGAAAGTCTTTTCTTTGTAATGACTTCATTGGTGGAGTAGATAAAGCAATAGAGTAAATACAGCAATAGTGTGGTAGGATTTCCTTTCCTTTGGTGTCCAAGGTTCCTGGCCACGCTGCTTCAAAGAATAAAGAGGTAGGCCTGAGAGAGTAGTGAGCAGAAAACAAAGTTTGTTGAGGGTTAGTAAAGTGATAGTACAAAGCTCCCGAAAAGGGAGGGGACCAGAGAGGGTTGCCATCAGTTTCTACATCTAGGGGTTTTTATAGGCTCCATGGCCTCCTCTTTTAATGTGATTAACCCTCTTCACTGGTCATCCAATCAGATTTTCAGCATCTATCATGTAGGAAAGGGTGGAGGCTCCCTTCCAGGGTGGTGTAAAATCCTTTTAAGGCTGGTTTCCTCTTAGGCCAGGGGGTCCCTTGTCCCTGCCTGCCTTTCTTCCAACCCTCCTTCATCAATACATTTATGAGAAAAGGAAACTTGAGTGGATATTCCTAGATCTGTTTTCAGTGAAAGATTATTGAAACAAGTAAGAAAAAAAAAAAACACCCCAGTGGTTTACATATAAATCCTAGGTTGGCCTTCTGTTTTTTTTTTTAAAGATTTTATTTGTTTATTCATAGAGACACAGAGAGAGAGGGAGACCAGAGACACAACACAGGCAGGAGAGGCAGGCTCCATGCAGGGAGCCCAACATAGGACTCGATCCTGGGTCTCCAGGATCACACCCCAGGCTGCAGGTGGCGCCAAACCGCTGCACCACCGGGGCTGCCCTGGCCTTCTGATCTGAATGTTTCATTCCCTTCTCTGATCTTGGTCATTTCCACTTGGTCCTCGTCCTTGAAGGGAAAGGAAGGTTTCAGCAGGCTCAAGGTAAGGGCTGGTTTATTTTGGCACGGGGCTGGAAGTTGGCCCAGGGAGAAGAAAGAGATCAACAACTCCCAGCCCATTTAACTGGAAAAGTCAGGAGGCCTGGACATTTGCTCCGCCACTCACTTCGAGTGAGTCCAGTTGGCAGCCAGGCTTCCTGTCCCAGAAATAGGAGGTCCCACTAGATAGATTCTGGGGGTAAAAGTCTGATCTTCTGTCCTGGCACTAGCAGCTCTAAACACAGAGGTAAAGGAAAATGGGAAGTGAATAGGAGAAATGGGAAGTGAGATACAATAGGCTGGAACTAGAGGAGAAAAAGTTCTGGGTGAGGCTTGATGGGGATGCCAAAGAACTGCCATCCCTGGGGTAAAAATGGATTGGTGGGGATGGAGATGAAAAGGGTTTTCTATTCACTTTATTTTTAGAATTTTAGTCTCCACCATCACTTTGCAGCCAGAGCACACATCTAAGGCAGCCGAACGGCACGGCGGCTTGTCCTGTTCTGAACGATCTTGACTCCTGCGCATGGCTGCCTTTGGGTCTAGAAACTCTCCAACCAGAAAAGCAAGGTGAACCTCTGTAGTTTGTTCTCTTAGGCTTCGTAGGGTTGTTTTAGAGACACAAGCAGCCCAGCGGGAGCAAACGGACCGGAAAGGGCAGGAAACCGGGAAGGAAGGCTCGGGAGGGCGGGGAGGAGGGAGGCGGTCCCGGGAGCGCGCGGCGCGGGATGGGCGGGGCCCGCGCGCGGACTGCATTTCCCAGGCTCCGCCGGCCCTCGCGGCCCCGCCCCTCAGGCCCCGCCCCTGCCCGCAGGCCCCGCCCTTAAGTCCGGCCCTCCGCCGTCAGGCTCCGCCCCCAGCCTGGCCCCGCCCCCTCAGCCGGGCTCCGCAGCCGCTCGGCATTATTTCCCCGCCGCCGCCAGGCCCCGCCCCGCCGCCGCCAGGCCCCGCCCCCGCCAGGCCCCGCCCCCGCCAGGCCCCGCCCCCGCCAGGCCCCGCCCCCTCAGCCCGGGCGGCGCGCCGCGGCTCGGCCCCGCTCGGCTCGGCCCCGCTCGGCTCGGCGCCCGCCCGACTTCCCAGCGGCCCCGTGCGGCCCGGGCATGCCCAGTGCGGGCGCAGCGGCCCCGGCCCTGGGAGCGCCCGGGCGGGAGCTGGCGGCCGGGCGCGGAGCGGCCGAGAGGAGCCGAGCGGGCCCGCGGTGGGCGAGGGACCGGGCGGCGGAGCGGCCGGGTAGGTGCAGGCCCACCGAGCCGGGCCGCCGGCGCCGCGCGGCCGGGGCCCTGCGAGCAGGGGCGGTAGGGCCCGGGCGCGGGTGCGCGGTTCCGGGCGGGGGGCCCCGGGCACGCAGGAGCCGGCCGGGGCGGGCGGGGGGCGCGCGGGTGTAGCGCTGCGTGTGACCGGCCGTGAGCGTGCCCCGCTCCTCGTGCGCGGCTGTGCGGTGGGGAGACCGTGGCTTCCGGTCGAAACGGGCTGGGAGGTGCGGCGGGCACGGACCCGAGATGACCGGGGCACTCGAGCCGTCCGTGGAGCCCCCCCCGCCGCCGCCGCCGCCGCCGCCGCCGCCCCGAGAGAAGCGAGGATGCTCACCCTCCCGAGACCCGCCGTGGGCCGGGACAGCTTCCTGCCTCCCGGGTTGAGTTTGCCTGCTTAGAAACGAAAGGACAGGATTGTGCCGCAGACGGGTGTGTGGCAAGGGCTAGCGACTACTGGGGGTCTCCGGGCCATCTGTATTTCCAGGTTCAAGAGAAGTTGCACGGGTTGAACACACGCATCGCAAAGCTGGAGTGAAGAGAAGTCCCGACTGCCGGGGGGATGGTGGGGGTTAGGACACCAGGGTTTTGAAGTTCGCAGGAGCCTCTCAATTGCTGTAGGCTTGGGCAGGCATTGAACTCTGGAGACTGGGTTCCTCCATCTGTAAAGTGATGAGAACCAGAGGCATCTTTTTTCCTTCCAGCTCAATTGCACAGTGTCGGGTCCCCCCCTCCCCCCGTGTGGTCCTAAAATTGTGGGAAGTTCTATTTTTCTCCACGTCTCAGCTTTTTGTCCAAGCGGGCAGTTGACCGAGTATCCCTGAATGAAGGACTGCTAGGGTCCCTATAAAATCGAAGTGACTTGTTCGACTGCTGCTGTTGGTCAGTAGGTAACTTGCCCCGAACGTCCTGAAGCCAGGTGTTAATGGCCACGGTTCAAATAACACAGCTGTTCGTTTTTCTTTTTCTTTTCTTTTTTTTTTTTTTAAGATTTCATTTATTCACGAGAGACACACAGAGAGACGCAGGCAGAGGGAGAAGCAGGCTCCATGCAGGGAGCCCGAGGTGGGACTCAGTCCGGGGACCCCAGGATCACACCATGAGCCAATGGTAGGTGCTAAACCGCTGAGCCACCCCGGGATCCCCAACACAGCTGTTCTGGACTAGAACTGCCATGCTTCACCCTTGTCCCTGCCTTGTGAGAAATCCAGACCAAATGATGGTCCTGCTTAAACTCCCAAGCCAGCTCAGTCTGGAGCAGGACTATGTTTTTATAGAAGTTACTAGGGCAGCCCGGGTGGCTCAGTGGTTTAGCGCTGCCTTCAGCCCAGGGCCTGATCTTGGAGTCCCCGGATCCAGTCCCACCTTGGGCTCCCTGCATGGAGCCTGCTTCTCCCTCTGCTTATGTCTCTGCCTCTTTCTCTCTGTGTCTCTCATGAATAAATAAATAAAATCTTTTTTTTTTTTTTTTTTTAAATAAATAAAATCTTAAAAAAAACAAAAGTTACTATTTTGATGTTCGTGCAGCATATATTCAAAAGACCTAGAAAACAATTTAATATCCTTAATTTACAGGTGAGGAAGTAGCTGATGAAGAGTAATCCATGATAGTCTTGACAAACTACTGTTGTGTATTGTCCTCATTGAGTAGTTAACTGTTCACCTGGCAGTGAGTTACCCTGTTACTCTGTGGTGCTTTTGTTTGTGCTGAAGTGGGAGTAGTCACAGAAGTCTCTTAACCTTAGAAACTTCTTTATCTGAAGTAATAGGATTTGACCTAAGGAGCAAATGGTGCATATGGTGTTGTACAAGTTGCCTTCCTACTGCAATATTCCCTGCTCTTCTGGTTCTGGGTGGCAGTAGTCCAGTTGGGTCAAAGTACAGTTTGAAGTGGTTATATGTGTGAGGGAAAAATGTACTTAGGTTTTGAAGTTTGAGTTTTATACGAGATGCTTGTGAAATTCCGTCATCAGTTTTTGGAGCTAGGTTTCTCATTCATCTGAGAATACCTAAAATGAGAAAGCTGTATTTTTTTAAAGAATGTTTATACACGACCTTTTTTGACCTAGTTTATAATCCAACGTTTCTTGCATGCTTATTAAAATTTTGTGTGTGTATTTAAAGTTGGAAATCTCGAGGAGGCCTATTTGGTAGTGTAGGTAGGTAATTTATATTGTACCTTAAGCTTGTGTGCCCGAGGGTCCTGTGTATGAAGTGTGTATTTAGTAATTTTTCCCAGAATTTCATCTTGATTTTCATTCAAGTGTTGGAGGTTCTATGTCAAGCATAAATAACCGCTCAAGAGGGTACTAAGATGAAATAATGGCTCATTTCCAAATCCTCAAAAGTATTTGGGATGTGTAGGGGAGGGATAGTTATGGACACCAAGGCCCAGAGAGGAGAGGAGACTCCTAGTCCAAGAGCATGTTTACCCCCAAGTAAAAGTGAACGGGTGGGACTTAAAAAATTGTATTGCTTTCAGGTTTTAGCAGTTACAGGTATACCTTCACTTAGTTCACTGTGTTAGTATCTGTGGGAGTGCCCAAATCTGCTGCGCTCCATGTAGAGATGTTGGTATGTGGAATATGCCATCAAGTAGAAATATACCTGAAGTAACTTACCTATAAGATGCCTATTTGTTGCTTCATTATGTTCCATCTGTTTCCAGGTCCTTCATGATGAAAGATTTTGAGACGCTTCTCTCTGTGTGTAGTTGGTAGTTTGGGTGGTGAAGAGATGGCTGACAGTGTCAAAACCTTTCTCCAGGACCTTGCCAGGGTGAGTACATTGTCACGTCATCTCTTGATCTTTTTGCTGTGGGAACCGACTCAGAGAGCCTTAGGGTTTCTTTTGGGGGAATTTTTATTATATTTGTAAGGTCCTTCACCTACAGATTCTCATTCTCAGACACACTACTCAGGAGATTAAGTATTATCTTGCATCTTCCAAAAGCTTGGGAAAGCTATCTAATGATAGTGTCTCTAATATTGGGAACTTTGGTTAGTTTGACTCCAGAGCCTTTTTGTCAAAAAGCATTTTTTTTGTTTTGTTTTTAAATATTTTATTTATTTATTCATGAGAGACACACAGAGAGAGAAGGAGAGGCAGAGACACAGACAGAGGGAGGAGGAGGTTCCATGCAGGGTGCCTGACTTGGGACTCGATCCTGGGTCTCCAGGATCAGGCCCTGGGCTGAGGGCGGTGCTAAACCACTGAGCCACCCGGGCTGCCCTCAAAAAGCTTTTTATTTTGGAGTAATTTTAGACTTAGAGATAAGTTGCAGGATAGTACAGGGTTGCCCTATATCCTTCAGCTTCCACCAACATCAAGTTTTTGGTCCACTGGTCAAAATTAAATCATGATCATTGATAGAATACTACTACCTAAACTACTTAATTCCTATTTACATTACAGAACCTATTTTTCCCCCATTCTATGTGGTGCAGATGATGATGGACTAGGAAAATGTCCCATAAAGATCTGTTTAGGACCTGGTAACCCCAATTAACCAATACCACAAAATTCCCTCATAGTGGATGTCTGAGGCTTAATGCCCTGCTTGTATCCCCTGTAGCTCTATTCTTGGGAGAAGGGGATCCTTCCTCAACGGGAGTCCTTAAAAATTTATTACCTTTGAGTAAAAGAGGGAGAATTGAAGGAGTTATCTTAGAAGGGTCAAAGAGACTTCATGCAAGGAGATCTACTTTTAATACCTTTACCTCATCTTGCCATTCTTGTGCTATAAAATATCAACCCTGGATCAGTTCTACACAATGTGCTGTTACTGTTTGTTCCAGTAAGCATCTCAGAGGTGGGGATCCTGTCATCGTCCTCCCACGTACAAAGTCCTCAGACATTTGAACTTCACTACCTTAAATATTTAAGCAATTTGTGGAAGATTTAGAAGTTAAAAGCAAAATAGAACTATACTTAAAAGGTCAAGTGCACACTGTGCTAGTTGATGTTATCACTCGTTAGTACATAACCACTTGCCCATTCGTATTTTTCTGTATCCCGAACATTACCTCTAGAATTTGTTTTAGGGTAGCCTGGGTGGCTTAGTGGTTTAGCGCCACCTTCAGCCCAGGGTGTGATCCTGGAGACTGGGGATCCAGTCCCACGTCGGGCTCCCTGCATGGAGCCTGTTTCTCCCTCTGCCTGTGTTTCTGCCTCTCTCTCTCTCTCTCTCTGTGTGTGTGTCATGAATAAATAAATAAAATATTTAAAAAAATAAATAAAATTTGTTTTAGCTAATAACAACATTTTTGAGTCCAGATTGACCTTTGCTTCCAGAATGTCTTTTTCCACCTAGTCTTTGTGAGGTTAAATATCCCAGTGCCACTGGTCTACTTTTTTGTTGTTGTTCATTGTATACTTTACCTGGCAGGTTCACATTTCTTGAGCATTTTCATATGACCAATGTCTAGCTCATTGAGGATGCTAAATACATAGGTGGATGGATGGATGAATGAATAGTTTTTGGAACTGGGCAATAGGCAGTTCTGGGGTTTGTAGTGCTAATGGTAACTTTTCCACTGTTGGAGCTCTTTCAATATAGTGGGCAAGTGCCTCTGTCACTGTCTTTATAGACATAACAACCTTCTCCCCCTCCATACACTCCTCTTAAGGACATTGTTTCCTCCAGTTATGCTACCGTGTTTCTGTCATGTGTGGCATGCTTGTATCCTCCAGCTTTTCACATTTCACAGTAGTGATTTGTGTTTTCAGCTGTGGTCCAGTCCCTGGTCTTTTCTAGAGACCAGTGTTTATTTTAATTTTTTTTTTTAAAGATTTGTCTATTTATTCATGAGGGGGGGGGGGCAGAGACACAGGCAGAGGGAGAAGCAGGCTCCATGCAGGGAGCTGGTTGTGGGACTCAATCACGCCCTGAGCCGAAGGCAGACGCTCAACTGCTGAGCCACCCAGGTGTCCTGAGACCAGTGTTTAATTTGTCCTTGTTTCACTAGAGTTTAGTTCAGGGTATAAGGCATACTAGAAGTATTTGATTAATATTGAAAGAGTATAGGGAAAGGCAGTAACTGGACTTTTATAGTCCTAAGTGTTGGAGGGATTGGAAAGCCGCTGTTTTGCAACTGTGCTATTTAAGCTTGGTTTGGGTAAGAATTGTCAATGGGCACTTGACGGGATGAGCACTGGGTGTTATTCTGTAGGTAAATTGAACACCAATAAAAATTAATTTATAAAAAAAAAAAAAGAATTGTCAATGGGTGCTAAATCACAGGGAGAGAAACTTAATGAGGAGAAGCTGGACAGCACCTTGACTATGTAAAATACCACCACCAAGGGCAGACACATGTCTTTCTCTGTATCTGATGTCTGGAAGAGCACAGCGTTTCTGTGATGCCCCAAAGTGAGGTAGCCTTGGTCTAATTGTGAGTAAACCTAAATTGAGGGAACTATGAAATAACTGGCCTCTATACTTCAAAAACACAGGCTGAGGATTTGTTTCTAATTAAAGGAGGCTAAGGAGATATGATAAGTAACTATAGTATGTGACTGAACTGATTTCTGACACATGTGGGGTAAACATCCTAAAGAGGGCATTGTTGGGACAAATGGAGAAACTGGAATATGGACTGCGGATTAAAATTTTTCAGTATTAAATTTCCGGAATCAGTATCTTGCAGTTTTTTTTTTTTTTTTTAAGATTTAATTTATTTGTTCATGAAAGACACAGAGAAAGGCAGAGATGTAGGCAGAGGGAGAAGCAGGCTCCAGGCAGGGAGCCTGATGTGGGACTCAATTCTGAGACTGCGGATCACGCCCTGCCAAGCCACCCAGGCATCCCAATATCTTGCAGTTATAGAAAAGAGTATCATTCTTAGGAATACACATTCTGATAATGGGGAAGACTATATGTGTAAAGAATACATTAATTTACCACATTTATTATAATTTTGTAAATCTTGAGAAAGGATATTTGGAAGTTCCATTTTTAGAACTGCTATAAATTTTGAATTCTATCAAACTATCAAGGTTCCTTTAAGCAAAGTAAGTTCGGTGGTTTCCACTGTTATTTCACTTTAATGCATGTAACTTAGAAAGTCTTCTCTGATCCATAATCCTTCCTTTTTAAAATAATACCCTTGTCTCTAGGGAATCAAAGACTCCATCTGGGGAATTTGTACCATCTCAAAGCTGGATGCTCGGATTCAGCAAAAGCGAGAGGAGCAGCGTCGAAGAAGGGCAAGCAGTGTCCTGGCGCAGAGGAGAGCCCAGAGTATAGAAAGGAAGCAAGAGAGGTGAGGAGTAGGGGCTGATGTCAGAAAGTGAGAGGGAGGGACTTCACCAAGTGACTGGTCCTTAGTATAATCACTTGGAGTTTCAGTACCCCATATTTGCTTTGTATTTTTTTCCAAAAAAATGTTATAGGTGACTCTCTCTTTCACATTGGATTAAACTAGGGTTTAGCAACCATGCTTGCTCAGGATGTCATGGTGTTGTTTTTTTTTTTTTTTTTTTTTTTTTGTCATGGTGTTTTAAAAAGAATGGTGAATCGAGAACACTAAAAAAAAAGAAAGCTGCTTCTTCTCTAGAAACATTTTTTAGCCTTTCTAATTGGCACTAGGAGAACATTGGGAGAAGAACAGGTGCTAGAAAAATAAAAATAACCAATGAAAAGTATAAGGTGGGGAGGGATTGGGTGATATGGAAATAGCCTTCTTAGCTAAATACATGTGGTCTTTTCTAGCGAGCCACGTATCGTTAGTAGAATTTTCCAATGCTGCGCTTGGAATGGTGGTGTCTTCTGGGTAAGTTCTTTACTCTCAAATGCCTCGTAAGCATCTTTAGATTGTTGTTATGTTAATAGTTCTTGACTTTTCTTGAAATTGAGACAAGGTAGCTTTCATGTGCTGATGCATGCTTAAGACCATAACTCAGGAATCTGTGCACCTGCAGTGTTTATATTCCCACACAAAGAACACTTGTATGTAAATGTCAGGTATAGCCCCAAATACACACTTTTATTTTAATTTATTTTTTGTAGAGAGCACAAGTGGTGGGGGTGGAGGAGAGGCAGAGGGACAGGGAGAGAGAGAGTCTCAAGCAGCCTCCACACCCAGCATGGAGTCGGATGTGGGGCTCAGTCCCAGGACCCTGAGATCATGACCTGAGCCAAATTCAAGTGTTGGATGCTTAACCGACTGAGCTACCCGAGTGCCTCTGCACTTTTATTTTTTAAAAATGACTTTCACGAGTTTTTTTTTTTTTTTTTTTGACTTTCACAAGTTTTAATGTTACAAATTTTTCTTGAATCTCTTTCCCTTTGGCTAAGAGCAGCTATGGAAGATCAGAAGGGAAGGGGAGAAGGATCAGGACAGGTTATCCTTGTGTCTGATCTTACAATTATATTAGAATTGATTACTACTAAAACCCATACCAGAAAAAGTTGCCTCAGAGTTCAAGAGCCAACATGAACTTAAGCAAAATTTGAGTACTTGGAAAGATAGGTAGTTAAATTTTTTTTTTTTTTGACTTGGAATTCAATAGAATTCCAGTTGTCTTAATCTAAACATTCCACATTTCCAGGTGTTTAATTAATAAAGTTTTACTACGTATTTAGTATGTACCTGTATTTTTCATCTGACCACTATTTGAAATGTTCATCTCTGTCCCGAGGAGAGTCAACTATCTTCACAGGCAGTGTCAGGTTTGTACTATAGGGAGGTGTTGGCAGATGGAAATGGGTCCAGTTAGGGTGCTTCTTTAGGCTGCCTTAAATAGGCACCTCCATCTGGGAATAAGGACCTCGAAACATGGAACTCCTGTGTTAGAGGAGAGCATTCATTCATTCATTCATTCATTCATTCATTCATGAGAGACACACAGAGAGAGGCAGAGACTCAGACAGAGGGAGAAGCAGGCTCCCTATGTGGAGCCCGATGTGGGACTTGATCCCAGGACTCCAGGATCACGCCCTGAGCCAAAGGCAGACATTCAACCATTGAGCCACCCAGGTGTCCCTAGAGGAGAGCTTTTAATGTTTGCTTTCTTCTTTCATTTAGTTAAGTCTCCTCCTGTTTTATCGAGTGTTTATTCCTGTTCTGCAGTCAGTGACAGCCCAGATTATTGGTAAGTATATGTATTACTGCATGCCATCTGCCTGGGATGGGGTGGCAGGTATTTCCCTGTCTCTCTCAGTTTATTGAATACTCCTTGCGCCGGGAACTTTAGATGTTTCTAGCTCAAGCCTCTTAGCAACCCTTTGAGTGAGTACTGTTACACATATCATTTTTATGGTTGAAGAAATAGAAATTAGTTACTGAGGTTAAACCATTTGTGAGTGGCAGAGCTGGGATTGAAACTCAGATGGAAAAAAAAAAAAACTCAGGTGGTTTCCTGCATATTGTGTGCCGTTAGAGCACTGTGACATCTGTCACCACCAGGTAAGTAGCACTCACGGCTCCTCTGAATTAGAGCTATGGCTAGAGATTGGTTTGTGTACGGAGAAGAAAACTACCTGAAGTTGGTATGGTGATGTGCTGGCAAGAAATGAAGGGGACTCTTGTGTGGGTATATGGAGAAGAGTCACCAACTAGTGCTTCCATATTTGGTCTCTTATGTTTTTCATTTCTTCAGTTAAACTAACTGCTCTTTTCTCCCCTCTCTTAGGTGATCCATCACTGCATGGAGACGTTTGGTCGTGGCTGGAATTCTTCCTTACGTCCATCTTCAGTGCTCTTTGGGTGCTCCCTCTGTTTGTGCTCAGCAAAGTTGTAAATGCCATTTGGTTTCAAGTAGGTCCATGGCAGAATGGAATCTGGGCCCAGCAGTGATGGGTTAATGGGTTGTGGGTTTTAGCTTGTGGTTGGTGGTGGGGCAGGGAAGGATTTCATAGCCTTAACCTTTCTTGGCTCATAGCAGCCAGTGGGTGATCTTTGTGCTCTTGTAAGATGGAATTAGCGTCTCAAGTCACAAAAGCATCTCATTGCCAGACCTGCCTCACCTGGCAGATCTGATGTGGCAGATCAGTGGCCTTAGCTTTGGGGATGGATAGTGAAGCCATAATATTTGTGTTTTGGTGAGCTACTTTCTCTGTTACAGGACATAGCTGACCTGGCATTTGAGGTATCAGGGAGGAAGCCTCACCCATTCCCTAGTGTCAGCAAAATAATTGCTGACATGCTCTTCAACCTCTTGCTGCAGGCTCTTTTCCTCATCCAGGTGAGACTGGCCTTCTGGTTACATGGGCAAATTTTGAAAGACGGTTCACTAGAGGGAGTGTCACAAAGATCAGAATATTGCATTTGTACTGGGGCAGATGAGCTTTATGGGAGGTCATGAGCTCCCATTTAAATCATTTTTTCACAGAAACAGCTAGAAAACTTAAAAATCGTAAAATGATAAGCGGCATGGTTTACCTCCTCTTTGCTGCCCACGGGCTTTCTCCACTCTCCTGTTGAGAAACATGAGGAGCCTCTCTAGGCAGAGGGGGATGACTCAGAGCGGCAGGTGAAAGTGTTAAGTCTCCGAAGCTTTGGGATTAAGATTCTCCATATTTATTCTTTAGGGGATGTTTGTGAGTCTCTTTCCCATCCACCTTGTTGGTCAGCTGGTTAGTCTTCTGCACATGTCCCTTCTCTACTCACTGTACTGCTTTGAATATCGTTGGTTCAATAAAGGTAAGTCCACCTAAAGAAACTCGGAAGTAGGAGGTCCAGTCTGGAAATGCTGCTAAGCAGGCTTCTCACACTGTTCAACACTTAGGCCATTGGTAACCCATCTTTGGAAGGAGGTAGCCTCTTTGGCGAGAGAGAATTTACACTTGGCTTGGGGAGGTTAACCTGTACCTGATACTGGGGGATACAGCAGCGTAACATTCTCTTTATGGTACTTAATGTGATGTAGCTCTGATTCTGAGCCATACAGTGGCATAAAGGCGCACATATTTTTCTGAATTTGAGAAATTAATTTGATATCATTGCTTTCATATTCTTTGGGGTATGTTTTAAAAGACCTTGGCATATTTCTCTGGGTGCCAATGGTTAGCTGAGGTTAATTGATTTTTGAGAATGGCTGCCTTTTTATTTGATACTTTGTTTGAGACTAGTCATGACAAAGGAAGCTGATGTTATAATTCCTAATTCCTAGCAGCTTTGAAATTGTGATTATTGATTTGAAAAACTTGACCCAGAAGCCTTATATTTGGACAATTCCAATTTATATGCTTTAACTGTTTTAAATGACTGATGTGTACCTAAGACTCAAACCTCAAATAATTTGTCTACTGTATTTAGTCATTTGACTAAACAAAAATAAGCAATCTAATTAGTAAGTATATTGTATTGACTGTCCTGTTTTAGGAATTGAAATGCACCAGCGGTTGTCAAACATAGAAAGGAATTGGCCTTACTACTTTGGATTTGGTTTGCCCTTGGCTTTCCTCACAGCGATGCAGTCTTCATACATTATCAGGTAATTTGGCCAGAGGGACTTGATGAGGACTAGTAAAATAATCAGTGTAGGGAGCATCTTCTACATGCCTGTTTTTTTTTTTTTACATGCCTGGTTTTATGGTAGGCATTTTCCATTCTTACTTGGCCATCCGGAGGTCTGTAGACTTTTCTCCTTGACAGAGAGTCATAGACATTTGTCAGCTTTGTCAGCATTAAAATCTAGTCTGCATGATTTTTTTTTTTTTTTTTTGTCTGTATGATCTTAAATGCCAAATGCTTCTATGTTGCCTTCTGGAGTAGTGTTGACCATTGCTTGAAGATGTGCTTGATAGATGTTAGCTCTGTAGGCAAGGGAACTGTGAGCTTCTAATCTCTTCTCCAGATGGGTGTCATGAAAGTGACTGTTTCTCTTTTGTTTGCAGTGGCTGCCTCTTCTCCATCCTCTTTCCTCTATTCATTATCAGCGCCAATGAAGCAAAGACACCTGGCAAAGCATAGTAAGTATTAGCTAAAGTGTAGTAAGCTGGGATCCCTGGGTGGCTCAATGGTTTAGCACCGCCTTCAGCCCAGGGCGTGATCCTGGAGTCCTGAAATCGAGTCCCACGTCGGGCTCCCTGCCTGGAGCCTGCTTCTCCCTCTGCCTATGTCTCTGGCTCTCTCTCTCTGTCTCATGAATAAATAGATAAAATCTTTTTAAAAAAGGTCTCATTCCTATAATTGTCATGTTACATACAGTCCTGCTCCTCTGTACACAGAGAGATAGCTCACTACACCTTATTTTTTATTTTTTGAAAGATTTTATTTATTTATTCATGAGAGACACAGAGAGAGAGGCAGAGCCACAGGCAGAGGGAGAAGCAGGCTCTAGGCAGGGAGCCCGATGTGGGACTTGATCCCAGAACTCCGGTATCACATCTTGAGCCAAGGGCAGACACTCAGCCACGGAGATGGCCAGGCATCCCAGGAATAAGAGTTAAAAAAAAAAAGAATAACCTCTTACATTGTAGGATAACATTTCATATCCGCTATGATGAGAGAAAAACTCTTTGGAATATATCTCCTATTTTTCCCAGGCATGTATGCACATGTTTCAAAAAATGATGCTATTATACATATGCTTAAAATTAAACAGTTCACTGAATATAAGGCACAGGAAATACCTGTAGTGAAGCCCATTCTTGTAAGAATGGTTAGATTTTTATAGTGGGCCATATGATCTGGCTATATGAATTTATTGATAGTGATAGTAAAACAAAATATTTTATTTATGTACTTAATTTAAAATTTGACAGAGTGCACATGAGCACAGGGAGGGTCAGAGTGAGAGGGGTGGGGAGAAGAAGACTCCCCCGGACCCTGAGATCATGACCTGAGCCAAAGGCAAGTGGCTAACTGTTGGAGCCACCAGGTGCCACAAAACAAAGTATTTTAAAATGAATCTTTAGTGGGGTGCTCAGATGGTGTAGTCAGTTGAGCATCCAACTCATGATTTTGGCTCCGGTCATGGTCTTGGGGTCGTGAGTTCTGGCCCCATGTTGGGCTCTGCACTGAGCTTGGAGCCTGTTTGAGAGTCTCTATCCTTTTTTCTCTGACCTTCCCCCAGCACTTGAGCACACACACATTTGTACCTGTGGACACTCTGTAAAAACAGAAAATTAAACAAAAAATGAAGTGAATCTTTAGCAACGATAATAATAGCACTCCGGAAGCTTTATTATTTTAAAAAAGGTTTAATCTTTGGGGCTCCTGGGTGGCTCAGTCGGTTAAGCCTCAGCCTTCAGCTCAGGTCATGATCTCAGGGTCCTGGGGTTGAGCCCTGCCTCGGGCTCCCTGCTACCCAGCAGTGCTCAGTGTAATGGCAGTCCTCGATGTAATTGCTTTCCCTGGAAACTCTTGAAAATGAAGCACATAGAGTATATTTTCAGACATAGCTTGATGTTACAAACAGCCATAGAAAAGTACTTCTCCAATCGGAATTAATCTGAAATGTAACTTTATTTCCCTGACCCTTGATTCTTCAAATGGTGATTCCATTGCCCTCATGATAGCCGCCAGACCCAGTGCCACCTTCAGCTGCTGCCTGTTAACCTATATGTGTCTTAATATCTGTACTTCCTTGATCAAATTCAGTTGTCTGGTTTTCCCCTATGTCATTTTAAGTTCAACATAGTCAAGTAACGTATCCAATAATTAAAACATTAAGTTTGAATAAATGGGGATCTAACCTGTTTGGTCTCTTGCCTTCCAGCCTTTTCCAGCTGCGCCTCTTCTCTTTGGTGGTTTTCTTAAGCAACAGACTTTTCCACAAGACAGTCTACCTGCAGTCTGCCCTGAGTAGCTCAACCTCTGCAGAAAAATTCCCTTCACCGCATCCGTCTCCTGCCAAACTGAAGGCTGCTGCAGGCCACTGATTGCCTGCCATCCAGAGGGGATGGGTGGATTGGAAGGATGCTGTAGGAGCTCTTTTCCTTGTCCCCTCCTCTGCCAGGGAAGGCAGGACCCGCTCTGCCAAGGGCCCTTTGCATATTCCCTTGTCTCTGAGGAGCTGGGATTTTTGTCTCTGGTGCGCTTAAGGCAGAATCTTCCTGACACCAGTGTGTGGATTTTTAACACCGGTGAGTCTGAATGGACCACAGGTTTTTCTGTAGTTCTTTTCTAGCACTTGCCAGCCCCCGTGCCTGGACTGATTGGAGTACTTTTTTTGGTCCCTGTGCCATCGATCCTCCCAATTCCTTGTCCTGCCTTCCACCACCCTTGGATGAATGGATTTTGTAATTCTAGCTGTTGTATTTTGTGGACCTGTTTTTTTTTTTGTTGTTGTTGTTATTGTTGTTGTTTTCCTGTGAAGCACATATATTGGATGAGGGAGATAAAGGAGTATCTCACCTGCTCCTGGTCACTCCCTTTATAGCCATCACTGTCTTGTTTCTTGTAACTCAGGTTAGATTTTGGTCTCTCTTGCTCCACTGCAAAAAAAAAAAAAAACAAGCCTGAAGAGATGGGACAGGAGGAAAGACCTCACAGCCAGATCTGCTTGGTTTTGAGGAGTGATTTTTTTTCTTCCCCTTGAAGGGGAAAAAGCTTTTTTCACTGGTACATTAAGTTCCCCAGCTGTAGGGAGGTACCAGTTTTGGACCAGTGCCACTGCAACACCGAATGCTCAGAGAATCTGAACTTTTAACTCTGGAGGTCTGAAGTGTACTGCTGGCCACTGCCGGGTCTGTCTGGTATTTCAAAGGATTATTGGGTGCTGCAAATAGGAACTGAAGGGGTAAACTTATTAAACCCATTGAGCCTGTGATTGGTTGGTGTTTTCCTGTCATTTTAAAGAGACTAAATATGTCGGGGTGGGGGTGGGGGCAGATGTCAAAACACTTGTCCGATTTTAAAATGTCACAATTAAACATGAGCTGGTTTCCCACAAGCGTGTAATGGTTGAATATTTAAAAATCATCACCTTGTGAAACGTTAAAAAGGTTAAGTGGAACATACAACTTTGCCTTGGACAATCTGGTTGTAGTTTTGGGAGATTAGTCCTGAAAAATGTTCCCTGAGGAAGTGTGGGTTATGTGATTATAATCATGTTTATATCTCGATAGAATTTGGAATTGTTTTAAAGTTTGTATGTATGTCTCTTGTGTATTCACGAAGAGAGAAATCCTTTTAGGTTTCAGTATATTGAACTTTTGCATTAGGGAAGAGATTAGACGTTTGGTTACAGAAACCTATATTAGATACAAGACTGTAAGGATGTGAAAATCATTGCTGGGAAACGTAAAAGCAAGTTTCGAAGTACAGAAGGTTTTAAAATAGTGGCATCTTGGACGTGGGTGGTGTTAGCAGCTTGTGCACAAGAAATTGTAAAAGACATAGTTAAAAAAAGATTTCATTCCAGTATTCCTCTGTGACCCTTCTGGTCATTTGACAGTAGTACTGCAGAGAAGTACTTCCAGGTTGCTGTGTGGTGGTTTGAAGACCTCAGCATTTCAGCAGCCATTATCTTAAGGTGAGTTAAAGTTTTTACAAACTGGCTTTATTATTAAAGGGCCCACATCTTTGCTGCCTGAAATTTGTGTACCAGCTAAGCTGGTCTTAGTTTAAAAGGGTGAGGGGTTAAGTGGATGAAGGCACATGATTCCTTTTTTTTTTTTTTTAAGATCTTATTTATTTATTATGAGAGACACAGAGAGAAAGGCAGAGACACAGGCAGAGGGAGAAGCAGGCTCCATGCAGGGAGCCCGACACAGGACTCAATCCCGGGGCTCCAAGATCACGCCCTGGGCCAAAGGCGGCGCTAAACCGCTGAGCCAACCGGGCTGCCTGAAGGCACGTGATTCCTATCCAGCACTGTGCCTAGCGATAGAAAATGCTTCAATTTGGAAGTGAGGAATCTGCAAAGTTGCATTAGCATAATCGAAATGTCAGGTCTGTACAAAGGATAGATTAGGCATACCTCTAGTGAAAACCTGGCAACCATCTCAAATGAGATACGCCCCAAAGCAGTGTGAACTCCTCATGTTTTCACTAGGGTGAGGGCACTGAGGACAGTGGTTAGGAAATTCGGATCAGGGACACCTGGGTGGCTCAGTGGTTGAGCAACATCTGCCTTTGGCTCAGGGCGTGATTCCGGGGTCCGGGATTGAGTCCCACATTGGGCTCCTTGTGGGGAGCCTGATTCTCCCTCCCTCTCTCTCTATCTCTCTGTCTCTATCTCATGAATAAATAAAATCTTTTTTAAAAAAGGAAATGAGGATCAAAGGGAGTAGGCTCTGTTTTTTGCTAAGATCAGAATTGGCAATTTGAGGCAAACAGTAACCTGAAAGGAAGGGAGATCACATTGCTAAACGTGAGAGAGCTTGAGTTTGAACCATGCAACCTGGTTAGAACCAATAGGATCTAAGGCATCCTGTTCACAAAAGTTCTTTGCAGAGACAGGCGTCACAGCCTGGACAGGTATATGTGACTGATGTTCTTGCATCCCATCTAGAGCTCAGTTGTCCATTGTAGCAACTTGAAGAATTAGAAAGTGGATACTTAAAGCCCGAGGACCTTTGCTAAGTCTGTTGGAAACTTTTAAGTGGACAGATCTTTGTACTGACTTGTTCATTGCTCTGTACTTAGTAAGGAGCCAAGATACAGTTGAAGAGGAATTGTGACGAACTGGAGCAAACCCAGGAGAGGGCAGTGAGTGGCTAGAGGTTTTTGAAGCACCTTAAAAATGATAACAGCTGGGCAGCCCCGGTGGCCCAGTGGTTTAGTGCTGCCTTCAGCCCGGGTGTGATCCTGGAGACCCAGGATTGAGTCCCATGTCGGGCTCCCTGCATGGAGCCTGCTTCTCTCTCTGCCTGTGTCTCTGCCTCTCTCTCTCTCTCTCTCTCATGAATAAAAAATAAAAATCTTAAAAAAAAATGATAACAGCTGTGGGAATAAAAAGGCAACTACAGTTCTGTTTACTATTCATTTTCCATCCCCTTGCATTTTCTGGTTATAGAAGTACATTCAATTTCTATACCCATGTGTTTACCTCCGTCAAGACTGCTCTGGTAAAGGTTATCAGCTTAGTAGTGAACAGACATTTTCCTCCTCCCTTAACATTCCTCCCATGCTGTATGACCCACAGAAGTTAAAAGGAAACTGACATTAGGTCAGTGTAACATGCCTTTTGAACAATGACAGGCACCAGTGAAGTATTTTGGATGGGCCTAAAGTAAGCCCATAGAGTCAGTCAAGGATCAAGTGGGGGAATGCAGGACTTCATCATGTAACATTTAAGTGCCTTCTCTGTTGGGCACTTTGCAAAGTGCTGGGGATTCAGAGTTGAACTAGAAAGATGATTACTGTCCTCCTGGACCTAACAGCATAGTGAAAGCGAGTGACAAGTAGTCAAGCAAGTTTTTAAAAATAACATGTTCAAATAGCTACTACTTTCCATAGGTCTCAGCTGGATAAAACTGGATTTCAGAGAATCTCAGTAGGGTGAGAGGTTAAGCTGTACCTTCAGCCTCCCATTCTTGTGCTCACTCTCTGATTTGTATTCTTTTTTTTTTTTCTTTAGATTATTTATTCATGAGAGGCACAGAGAGAGAGGCAGAGACAGGCAGAGAGAGAAGCAGGCTCTTTGCAGGAGCCTGATGCAGGACTGGATCCCGGATCCTGGGATCACGACCTGAGCTGAAAGCAGCTGCCCAACTGCTGAGCCACCTGGGCGTCCCTCATTCTCTGATTTCAAGTTTCAGTGTTTTGTAGTGCTTTCAGACCTATGGAGGAAAGTAGTGTCCATTTGATCATTGAGATAAATTTTAATTATTTAGATCTGGATCACCATCACAGTCCTCTCTTGGAGCTTTGCCCAAATACACATGGCACCTGCCCTTGGAGGAAATTTAATTCCAGAACAAAAGGTAACTTTAAAAGCTATAACTGCTTTCATGGAAATTTGGGAAACTATTTTACCCATAAAGTAAGAACAGATTGTTGTGAAAAGGGGACAGGATAAGAAAGTTCTTGGAACTTAGAGCAATAGTGGATTTAAATGATATGGCTTCTAAAAGTAATCCAGAGATGTGCACAGACATTTCTCCAAAGAGGACATAACAGATGGCCAGGAGACACATGGAAGGATGTTCAACATCACTCATCACCAGGGAAATGCAAATCAAAACTACAATGAGATATCACCTCACACCTATCAGGATGGCTAAAATAACCCCAGAAACAAGTGTACGAGGATGTAGAGAAAAAGGAATCCTCATGCACTGTTGGTGGGAATGCAAACCAGTGCAGTCACAGTGGAAAACAGCATGGAGGGTCCTCAAAAAATTAAAAATAGAACCACCCCATCATCCAGTAATACTACTGGGTATTCACCCCAAACAGAAAAATACTAATTGAAAGAGATACACACATCCTTAGATTTATTGCAGCATTATTTACATTAGCCAAACTTTGTAAGCAGCCCACCTGTCCTTTGATAGGTAAATGGATAAAGAAGTGATACACAGTGGAATATTCAACCATAAAAGAATGAAATCTTGCCATTTGCAATGACATGGATGGAGCTAGAGAAAATAATACCAAGTGAAATAAGAGAAATACTATATGACTTCATTTATATGTGTAATTTAAGAAAAAAAATGGGCAAAGGAAAAAAGGACCAAGAAACAGGCTCTTAACTATAGAGAACAAACTGATGGTTACCAGAAAGGAGGTGTGGGGGGAGGGTCTGTGGGGAAATAGGGGATGAGGATTAAAGAATGCACATTGTGATGAAAAAAAGTATAAAAAGTGATATTGAGGAGCCTAAATTAGAAAATTGCAGGGGGGATCCCTGAGTGGCTTAGCGGTTTAGCACCTGCCTTTGGAGTCCCGGGATCAAGTCCCACATCAGGCTCCCAGCATGGAGCCTGCTTCTCCCTCCTATGTCTCTGCCTCTCTCTCTATGTCTATCATAAATAAATAAATAAATCAATAAATCAATAAATAAATAAATCAATCTTAACAAAAAAAGAAAATTGCAGGATAAAATTGAGGAAATTCTCGGAATATAGAATGATCAAGACATGGAAAAAGTTAATCATGGAAATATCCAGGAATCAGGAGGTCTGACGTTCACCCAAACAGCACCTTCAGAAATGAGAACAGGAACATAGAGACAGGAATAAAATGAAAATTTACTGGACTAATGATGAAATTGGAGGTTTCAGACAGAAAGGGCCTGCAGAATGTAAAGATGAAAATGAGAACAAAAATGAGACAGGAAAACACACCTAGATAGGATCTCTAAGGAAAAGTCATTTATCAGAGAGAAAAACAGTGTACTTACAAAGGACTGTGATTCACATGGGCATCAGACTTTTTTTTTTTTTAAATATATTTGTTTAATTTTTTTTTATAATTTTTATTTATTTATGATAGTCACAGAGAGAGAGAGAGAGAGAGAGGCAGAGACACAGGCAGAGGGAGAAGCAGGCTCCATGCACCGGGAGCCTGACGTGGGATTCGATCCCAGGTCTCCAGGATCGCGCCCTGGGCCAAAGGCAGGCGCCAAACCGCTGCGCCACCCAGGGATCCCTATTTGTTTAACCCTATGGGTGCCCGGGGTGGTTCAGTTCTGCCTTTGGCTCAGGTCAGGATCTCAGGGTCCTGGCTGGGATGAAGCCCCACATCCCACTTCCCTGAGCAAGGAGCCTGCTTCCCCCTCTCCCTCTGCTCTGCCCACCATCCTGGCTTGTTCTGTTTCTCAAATAAAATCTTGAAAAGAAAAAAGAGAAAACATACTGCTACTCTGGTGTGCCTCTCATG